TGATTTTCAAAAAATTACCAGTGAATTCAATTTAAGAGAATACATAGAATATTTTATTTATTACGAATTGCAGAATATTTTCAGAATATTATCTGAATTTGAGTAATTTATATCAATTTATTAATCGGTTTAGTTATTTATTTAAAAATTCAAATTACCAAGATTTTTCTAATATTTTCCAATGTGAGAACTAGAAGAGAATTTCGTTAAAGTAGAATTTCGTTCTTTCGACGAAAGGAAAAAAATTGTTGCAATTCGCGTGAACGAAAATGGCATGTAGATATATTATTATTTATGTTCACACTTGTAACATTCCAGGGGAATCGATATTGCACTGCGCGGTAAAGTTCGAATGCAGAGGCAATAAAATAGTATTTCATTAAACTCGAGAAGCTTTTACGACTGTTTATCAGAAAATCGGGCGCGAGAAAATGACGGAGATTATTGCTCCACCTTTAAACCGCGGGTCAATCATTGATATCAATAGTCATCAATTATTCCTAGGTACTTTCCCGCTCCCGAGAGACATACACTGATAACGAGTGGTAAATAATAGAATAGTCAGTAGTATATCCCCTTAACGATCATCCACGATACTTTCAGCGTTTGACTGATGATTCTGGAAAGCTTCGAGTCTATTTACATTTCAATTATTCACAATCCCTGGAACAGCAGATAAAAAGCTGCTGAGCATTAACAAAATTATCATGTCTGTGTCACCGGGAAATGCGAGAATAATTGAGATGCATTAATGATATCGTGCAAATCGATTCGCTCCCTGGAACGATCGATCGACTCACACCTTACAGTAAAATTTCCGGATTCCATGAATCCAGAGAAAAATGTTGAGTTGATTGTTTTGGCATTGAAGACATTTCCAATTCATTCGAGAGGAAAAAAATAATTAATTTCAGAATCATTTATAATCATTGTACACTTCACTCATGGCTCTATTGCATATAAAGGAAATTAATCTAAATTAATATTATATTTACTGTTAGAAAATTTATCTTTAGGAAGGAAAATTATGAAATAATAGAAATTGGATTTATTGAGGAAAACTTATTGAAAAAAAAAACTTAAAAATAAATGCAATACTCAATTTTTCAATGCTATTATCGTGTGGAAATTGTGATAAAGCAGAAAAATTGTGAGAAAATCAGAATGCGTGACCATTTCGATCCATTGGTAATCGATAATAATTCTTTCTTTTTTGCTCATTGAAGAAAGAATGTTTTCTTCACTCGTCGTAATTTTCTGTCGAGTAATGCTCGGGGTCAGCTATTCCATAAACCATCAATTGATCAACTTAACACTATATAGGAGCGAGAATAATTCCAAAACTTGCTATCGATAGCCCAATGAATTCGCGTGTTGTTTACACAATTCGCAAGTTTAGGTGTCGCGATTCGTCACCTTTGGTGCTTGTATTTATCCAATATACACTCGGTACACCGGAATAAAGGGAAAGAGAAAAAAATTCCGGTGCACGGAACATGCGTTGAGAATTGTCAATCGAGTTTGTGACATCGAGACCGGAGAATGCGTTCGATTTTTACCGTGCGATTGATACCGACCACTTGCGTGCGTAACGATTTCAGGAATGTTGAGTGACTTTTCACGTTTTTTACTTTTTTATTTCTACCTTTTCATCTGTCTTATGGTAATTGATTCGTCAGGATGTTTCCAAGCATTTCCCCCATAAACCCTCATTTCAGTTAATTATTATCAATTAATTAAATGCTAATTAAATCTGAAAACAGCGAAATTAAATTAAATATAAACATTAAAAAATTTTCTATTCTTAACTTTAAAAATGTTTCTACTATTAAACAAACATCTTTTGATAATAGATAATTATAATTAATATATCTAATGATCAACAGATTAATGGCGTATTTTTTAAAATTATATTACAATGTTAATTATTATTTATATGAAATGTAACTGATTGGCTAAAGGTTTTTCGGCGATGGACAGTTGCAAGTTATTCTCGCAACTTGCAACAAATTTCGTTATAAATAAAAATAATGTCATTTATGAACAATTTCTTATTTACGATGATGTTGACTATTCATGAATGATTGAGGATGCCGCTTTTAATTAACATGATCGAACGCAATTTTCCAGACACGATATATGTTAAACCGGACTCTGATCCCACGTTTGTGTACACTCAATTGCATTTACATAATGGCGGTTTACTCCACCTGTTAAACGACAACCTTAACCTTAACTTGTCTTCATTCACTGGAAGTTATATTTAGACTTCTGTTATCCAACATTTCCACCTTAAAATCCTTGTTTTTCTCGTCTCATGCCCGGACGTTGTGGAAAATGTAAAAAATCTCATTTTCCATCATCCAATTATATAATCGAGTGCTAATTACGAATTTTTACCTGGTGAAGGTTACTTCCGATATTCTACGAGTTTTCGTACTTGGTTTTGAGTCGCAATTTAACTCTGGTGGTAATAAAACGCTCGAGTGATTGGCACTTTTAATCGCAATGACGATTTACCGTCATTTTCAAGGCATTTCTGCATTTTCTGCATCGACATGTGAAACAGGCACTCGAAGCCTGAGAAAAACGGTTTTCATGTCATCTTCAGGGGAGCAAAAAAAATGCAAAAAAAATTCTTAGTTACAAGGGAAACGCTTCAAAGTACCTCATTCCCCAAATTTTGTATTTTTTTCCCATTAAATACTAAAAAAATTAGAATTTAAACCGATTCCATGGTGTACCTTATTCCATTTTCATGAAGCTCACTTGACAATCTATCAACCGACTAATTATAACTAATAAAATCCTTAATTTATCTATTCACGTTTCTCCAAACAGAATAATTTAAATATTTAATAATGTAAAAATATTCATTGCGTGTCGATATTATTACCCCCTCTATAATTACTATGTAATTTTTATTGAATATTTCTCAGTGTATATCGATGATTCATTTACCAATAATTCGAGAAGTATCTCTCGTGCATCTTTATCACTCGAGCATTCAATAATATGCAAGAAAAAACCTTGACATGGCGAAATTGATAAAAGAGTTGATCCCAAGGAAAATATGATTGTTGCACGTTCTCAATGTCACTCACAGGTGTAAAACTTCTGTTTGCAAAAGCTACACCACTTCTTCGATTAAATACTCTCGAGTTGAATTCATCTGCCAAAACTGGGTCAGAAATCGTTGATGTAATCCTTGTTTGGAATAGTGAACATAAATTATCCTCTCGTCATGTTAAGCGACAATTGATTTCTACCCTGAAATAAATTCGTGCAAGGGAATAGTGAAAGGAGCTCCGTTCTCGCGATCTATTCATTTATCTCATGTGTTAAATTTCATTGACCTTGAGCAGATGATTCGGCGGATTCCAAAACCATTTTTTCTCTCCATATTATCTCAGTTTTCATTCACGTAATATTTTCATTAAATAGCACTTATTTTTATTTTATTATTTTTATTTATATTATGTAACTGTTCCTTCTTTACTCTTCATTATCCGAAAATATATTAATGCAATAATCTTGACGGTTATTGTTATTTTGAGGCGCGAATATTTCTAATTTTGGAAATCATATATTTTTTATAGGAAAGTGGTTGAGTTCGTCTATAAAATTCATATAAATCAAAACTTATATGTATTTTATACAAATTTTAGAGATACTGCAGGAATATATTGAATTGGCCTGAATTATGTATTTTGATTATCAATTTTTTTTTAATTTAAGATGTTGTTATTGAAAAGACGCGTAATTTTGATTGAATATTTCTCGTTATTTACTGGGTGCACGTGGGATTGGGAAAAAATATATTCTGAACTTCCAGCATCGCCTGGGGCATAATTTACCTTTTATCCCAGACAACCAGTCGCCTTCGAAAGTAAAACCGTTCCTTCACTGGGTCTAAACCCGAAAACGAAGAGTTCAATGTGGGAGTTGTAAATTCCTGTGAACGAGAACGAAACAATTCTGTGATTTATTTTTCCTCATAATTTTATGTTCGCTAGGAGAAAATATCTTGAGTTGCTTCGAGAATATCTCAAGTTTTTCATTATAAAATAAATATTCTCGGTGCCTAGATTAAAATCCATAATTTTTGACATTGAAAAAATTAGACTGCCATTCGAAATTAGGGAAATACACCGTCTCAGTAATTTTCAAAGTCTACATGAAAGACTAACGATGAAAGGTAGTAATTAGAAGTTGCTGTCTACCTGCGTGTGAAATTTCGCGGCCTAAGCTCACAACTTTAACGAAAAATGTGAGGATAGTAATTGAATTGATAAATATCCTGCCATTACTTTAAAGAATCCATCGGTTTTAAAACTTTTCCACGACACTGAAATATCGAAATTTTTATTTATCGCTTTTCACGGAAGTATTTTGTAACAACGTCATCAATAAATTTTGCGTTAAGAGTATAAAATAGCGTTTTGAAATTGAAAAAATTTATTGAAAAAAAATCGAATCGGCCAAAAGGGATACGTGAAAAATGTAACACAACAAATATACAAAATTTAAACAAAAAGCGCGAGAATGGTTTATAAAATCCAAAAATCACTCGACATTGGAAATAAAAAAATTGTTTTAAATTTCGTACATGGATAGGTATAGAACCAAAAAGGGTAATTTTTCTCTAAAAAAAAAAAGTTCGGTGCTCTGTATATCTGGACCGATAATGCAATAAATAATCGATAACGTAATAAATAATCTGCGATTGATTGGCGTCCTGGGGACATGTGGTGGTGTTGAGGATGACAAAAGGTGGACGTTTGATAAGTGTTTGGTGGTGAAAAAAGGAGATACAATTTGTCGGATGAGGAATATCTCAGTGGGTGGGCATTGGACGTGGAAAAGAGGGAGTACACATAACCTGAGAGTAATGAGGTGGAGTGTTTGTAGCAGTATTGTAAATAAAGTGGGGGTAGGCATTGAGGTAGATCGAGGGGGGATGCACGGCGATATATGAACGCGAAACCCGCGGTCCGCGCACTCGATAATCCAACTCAATATTTCCCTCTTCGTTGTCTCCAAAACACACCAAAAAAATACTCAATCCATTTTTATTTTCGATGTCTTGTTAAGATTGATACGGAGTTACCATCGCATTTTTTTTTACTGCATCATACTGGATTAAGTGACACGTGTTCAGGCTACTATCATGACTAAATTGTGGAAAGGTAATTGTAGAAATTTATCTGGATGTTGATTTCGTGGGGAATGGACCAGTTCGCTAATTGTGATTTGTGGGGTACATGTGCACGGAGATAAATATTCGATACAATATCTTTTTCGTAATTCTGGAGCAATTAATTATTACAAGGGAAGTATTGAGGAATTCTTTGGAGCGTTCTCTCATTTTTGTATGAATTTTCTGTGAGGAATGTCGAAAATTTTACGTACATTTTCTTAATCACTTCCATAATTGAGAAGAGAATTAATTTTGCGATTCTCATTGAATATTTCTCCTATTGGAATTCCATTTTTCGGCGGGGAATAATTCCCAAGACTTTTTACATGCGTTGATTTATCTAGATTTAATCACCGAAGTTCCTAGATCCAAGAATATTTTGTATTGAATGAAAAATAAGTTTGATATAATCACTAAAATTGTTTTTTTTTAATCTGAATTTATAGTTTTATGTCAAGGAAGTTCAATCGAATCGAGTCGACTGATTTTGTCAGAACAATTCTTCAAAGTAAAGTCCAATGTGATCACGAAATTCTTTCACTACAAGCTAATAATATCAGTCGCATGTATTAAAGAATTGAATGATGATGTTTATGACGATGATGTCACCGTCAACGAACCGTCTGTCTCAAATATTTCCAAAAACATTAAAATCGTATTATAAACCGATCAAGTCACCTTCGAGCATCCCGGGAATCAATAAGTAACAACAATGTGCATCAATAATGTCATCAATAAATAATCCTACATTATCTCCTCAGCAACATTTATCTCCACTGTCAAGGCTGTTGGAAATAATTTCCATGAATTTAGGAACTCCTTTTAAAATAGAGAAAAATTTCTTGGGGAATATAAAAAATTTCAACTGATTAAGAATTTTTCTGGCAAGCTATTATTAAAAAAATAAAATATTTCTACGAGTTGTCACTATTTATCGGTTCCCGATATTTCTTCATCCAGTTTTTTTCCATTTTAATGACGATTTTCAAATTTAAAAAAAAAACGCAAAACAAAATCTTTACATTACGTCAGGCAAATTCATAATTAGCGTAACTATTATTGAATAATTAATTTTGAAAATGCCAATTGTAATTACAATTTATATCCCCATGAAATTTGAAATTTCTTCAAATCGATCGATTACTGATTTCGGTTTGAACGGATTTCAATGGATTATTTTATTTTTATTTTTTCAATGGAAATAATTACCGAAAATCTCCGGTTGACGTTAGGTGCACTCCCGAGTGCTCGACATTTTTTTTTCGCTCCTTATTATCACGATATACTAGACCGCAGGCAAAAGATAAGGTCAACGACGAAATGTATATAGTACTCATAAAACGATGTAATCTCGTTAGTAGACATTCGGTAACATCTACTGCTGACAATATTTATTAGAGTACTTTTTTCAAGTCTGATTTCACGGCCGGCGCCTCCACTGATAATTCGTGACTATTGAAATAATCAACTGATAAGAGAAAACGATCGGAATAATTCGGCTGATTTTCCCATTCCTTTATTTCGGGAATTCCAAAAGGCCCTCTCTTTACATATTAACTTTTGTGTAATAACATGTTCAGCGATGTCTTAACCCACATCAGGGCCTCTCAAGGTGACGCTGAAGCATCTGTAGGACAAAACGACGGGTCGTAAAGAGAAACGTATAATTACGTTTTTCAAAATTACTTGTTTTTAGTTTCGTAAAGCGATTGTTTTCATTCTTTATTTCTACAAAATGCTGACTCTTTTCGGTCGTTATCTCCAGTCAAGTGGAAATATTGCCGTGAAGTACGGCGATGCATTGGAAATTTATTGAGATTTCTCATGAAGTTTCCATTGATCTAATTACACTGTTATGAATTTTTGCTGAAATTTTCGACACAACTTTTGAACGTTTTTTTGTTTGCTGCGACGGTAGCGGAATATCAAGTAATTTCACAACAGAAAATTCGACACTTGTGAAAACTCGTGGTCTTTAATCAATTGTTTATTTTAATATTTATATGATAAGAATTTATTTTTTTTTTACACATTACAAATCCAATTGAATTTTCAATAGACTGAATTTTGGAATTTACCAAATTTTACTTATCGTCCTAAAAATAAAAAATAATAATTAATTACAGAGATTTGAGAAATTAAATGATTCATCAATGAAGAACTCATAAAAATATAATGTTTTCTACTTGCAATTCTAAGTGTAACTTCATCAATCAATTGCAATCGATCGATTTCAATATTTCCAGGTAAAGATATAATCGGTCTTGAGGAGGTCTCAAGGATCGACTTCCTGGTGCCACTGTTCGGTGAAGCTCTGGGGACATTTCTTCTAGTTCTCATCGGATGCGCGTCATGTGTTACATGGAATCCGGATTATCCTCCGATGGTGTTGCACATCGCCTTCACCTTTGGTCTCGCGGTCGCTGCTCTCGCCCAGGTAAGTGTTCTCCAAAAATCAAGGAGAAAAAAAAAATCGAGCGAAAGAAAACAAAAATGATCAAAAAATTGGGCAAAAAAAAATGGGCCCCACAAAAAGATGAAGCTCATTACGCAATTTCATCCTCTGTTTTTTCTTCGTCACTTTTGTTTTTACAGAAAACAAAAAATTCGGCGAAAAAAAAGATGAAGATAAAAACGGGCCAAGTGGTACAATATGATCACAATGAAGAATACATAATGTAATACCGGTACCTGCGGTTAACTCACGTGCGCGCGTGTTGAGAATGAAAAAGGCACGAGGAGGGGGTGTGAGTTTACGTTTTCCATTCACCGAATTAAACCTCACGGGAACTTGGCTTGGATTTCAATGCTCTCGCCTTTTCTATCTTTTTGCTGAATCCAATTAATCACCACTTATCATAGCTCTTTTTGTACTAATTATTGCGCGAAATGGTATTAAGAGTTTTTATTGCTATTTCACTCATCAGTTGGGAATTATTTCGATTACGCTGTGCTCGTGGCAATTTTTCATCAAAATCTCAGGGTATATCTGGGTATCAAACCTTCCGAATGCTGTGAAAAATATTGCCATTTCTTAAAATTAAATATTATTATTTATACATCATTAATATCATGTGGAGACACATTAAAAAATATATATTCCATAAACAACGCCTATAACAATATTTTTTTTAATAACAAAATTATATTTTAAGACTGACTGAAAATGTAGTTCAATGGAATGGCGAATGTTATTTTATTGGAATTGTCATATTTATTAATCTAAATAAATATTCCGTCTGAAATAGACTCCAACTTCCCAAGATTGAAATGTGACGCATAACTGCCAATCAGTTTGCCATAAATTTCTACCAGTGTAAATTGAGAGTTAGGAAACTCTCATTTTTCAAGAGAGATTTGCTCCTGGACATTGTTGCATGACACCTGTGTCGATCACGCAATGACCAAGATAAATACTTGCGGATTGATGTTGATAGACAAATCGATTAGGATTACGAAAGTACTAGCGCCGTCTATTGTGCTGTCTATTTTTTTGTTGAGTCTTTCTGACAGTCCGATGAGCCACCGAGACGAATCGATTTTCAAATCTGCCAAGGAGATGCTATACCTCATTGGAGCCGGTTTCCAAACACTTCAGTCAAGTTGATGAAAATTTCATCTGCCAAATTTGCCTCGAGCAGTCGAGATTGTAAATTAACTCGGTGATATCTTCATCCAAAATGCAACGAATCAATTATCCTCGTTTCTAGTTACCCAAGTACTTTGGCAATTTCTTTTTTGTTGAAACTCTCCTCACGCTTACTCTATTAAAAAAACATTCTGACAAGGTAAATATATAAATAATATTTCAGTTTCAATATTATATCTATGAAAAATTAAATAACAAAATCCCCTTCATCGTTGTCTTCATTCTATGAATATCCTGTGACGCGTTATAATATTAATATTATTATACTAAATAAATAATGATTTTGAATACTAAGTTTTACTGGGGATTTTACTGGAAAATATAAAGATATAAATATAGAGATAAAGTGGGAAATGATTAGAAGTGAACTGAAGCATCCGTAAATCTCACACGAGTCCTTTCGAATGGCCGACCTCGGCCCCGAAAAACAAATTTATTACACAGTTGGCAGTTTCTCGGTGAAGTACCAGCCGAATATTCGGTAAAAGAAATTTCCAGACCCGCACTTGAAAGCTTTGATCTCACGATCAAAGCATCCCGTGCCTGCCCACTGCAACGAAAAAGATTTATTGTACAATTTACCCTGAAGTTGTAATAAAAAATTCAATGAGTCTAGCCAAAATGGCAATACCTTCGTAAAATCTTTATGAAAAACACTCAATTACATTTAATACCGTTAAATATCCAGTAATTGCAATCCATTCTGATTTATAAAAATAATCTACTATCACGTTATTAAATAATTACGGAAATATTGGGTATTATTTTCAAAATATTATACGTCCGCATATTCCTTGTATCTTTTTGCAGTACAAATTTTTCTTATGGCACGAAAAATTCGCAAGGATGACAATTCGAAAGAGCGACTGAAGGTCGGACTCCATGATTCTTACAAATGTCACAGTAATTCCACTTCTTTCCCATCCAAGACGATACAGTTCCCTTCCATGAAAGGTCGAGGACTTTACCAATGCGTAATTCACAATCCACGATATGGATGGAGATAAAACGATTAGAACTCTTATGCATCGAATTGATATCGATAATTGGAGATTGCAATTAATCACTTGAGGATTTTTGCATCGTGAGATACCCGAGGCAATACAATCCGTAGACTGAAGATCGGAAAAATTCCTTTTGAATTCTATACTTTCCTCTACTTTCCCCCAATTTCCTTTTTCACTCTGGACTATTCAGCCAGAAATGTAAGAATACAATTACGCGAATTGCGGTGGGTGTTATCGCAGTCTCTGTACTCCACGTGTGTTGACATAATCTCTTTGTAGGCGTGATCACCTTTTTTACATAAATGATTTTTGGCCTCGGATGGTGTAAGGGGAATCGAAATTTTTATTTTAAAAATTTTCCATTCAATGGTAATATAATTATGAGAATTCTCTATAAAATTAATAGAATGTACAAATATCATAAAAATCATTGAACACGAATGGCAGGCGATAATGAGGTTAACGACCACACGACTGGATCTGGTGTAATGAGCGATGTACATCAAATTGTATCGAGATTAAAATCATTACAAAATCACTAGCGACGATATGTCAGCGATAAATCAACAACTGTGCACCTGATTTCATTTAATCCATTGATTAAATTAAATCCAATGCTTTTTCTCCGATTTTTTTTTTTTGCCTAGACACCCGCAGTTGAACATTAATTTGAGGCATACCGATAGCCCGGGGGGTGGTGGGGAGGTGGGAGGATATCCGTTGAAGAAAAAAAAAAATAAAGAATCGGTTTGATGAATAAAAAAGTGAAAGAAATAATTTTTTTTATTCTCCGTTGGATGGCAAAGGCGGTGGCTACATAGGGGGACAGGGAAGGGTAAATAAGGCCGTGGATTCGCCCAAGGGGGTCTAACTGTCCGGTATGGTGCAATATTTGCCCTGAAGGCTCTGACAACCTACTATATTCGCATACTGCGGTTATTCGCCTCAAATGCTGAACCAATGAGCTGGTGGTCTTGACGCGTGTGCTCTGCACCCGTGCACTTGTCTCCGAGTCTACCCCACCTCGGGGGCCAACCTTTTTCGCTCCTGACACTCTTTTTTTTTTTACTTTTAGTCACTTTTGCTTTTTCAATGAGTCACTTCACCTCGGGACGGTACGACTAATTCGTTGGGATTCGAATTCGAGTTGTAACAGCCCGGGGGTGAATTTCAGCAGTTGACTCATTCTTTTTTTTTTATTTTCGCTTTTCGATTTTTCGGTTTGTCTCTTCTTTTTCGATATCAATCAATCAATCGATCATTGAATCCATTTATTGGAATAGCTGTTCTCTGTTTTTAATGATTTTTAAGTACTCAAGAATTAGTGAAAAATAATTACGATATATATATGTGTGTATATATATATATACAGTGTAATTAAAATGTAATTAAAACATCACAGAAATCAAGGGATTCGCGGAAATTCGTCGAAAGCTTCGATCTGCAATTCATACATAAGTTTCAGAATTTATTTCTTTCATCACTGGTGATGACGAAAATCTTGACATGAATGACATTCGTATTCGTAGACCAAGGAAATAATTATACGTGACTATCATTATCAAAGTCTTCCCAGTATATGAAGTAACATCTGTCTTGATGGGAAGATTGAATGCAAATTCCAGGATGATACGAATTCGTAATGAGACGCCATCGGGTTGGAACGACAGTAATGCGGAGAATCCTATTTTGCATTAATGATTTCTGCAAACCGAGTAATCAGTGATGATTATTTCCCATGAACAATTCATTCTCGTTAATCGCTTTTAAATTACTGGGATCAATAGATTTTTTTTATTATTCGTCGAACCTTTTCGTCTAGACATTTATTCTGCTATGAAAAAAATCGTTTCTATCGTCTGACAATTTAATTGAATTTTTAATTTTAGGTGTAAATACAGATGTAAAATAAACAGCTGTTCATGTAATTATGTAGCTTATTTTTATATTACAGTTTATTCAGAAATTATATTTTTCTGATCACTCTCCCGTCCCAGCTAGGTGTGGAATTCTTTCCTAAAAATTTCCTGATGCTCAATATTAGTTTCTGTTTTTCTATATCATAGAGATAAAGATAATAATAATAAAAATTCATACCAATTCTCGTGAATCTCGTATAATCCAAGAATTTCATTTATTTATGTAAGTAAAGAAAAATTTGAATGAATTGAGTAAATATATATACGAATATATATTTTAATCATTTTTAATCAATGACAAATCAATTATTGGAAATGTATGGAAAAATCGCCGAATGAAGTAGAATAATTAAAAATTATACGTAAATGGTTGATTCATCAATTGGAATACATGTGATTACAACTTTTGACATGAATTTACTGGAATTAATAATTGAGTATCGAACCGTGACAATCATTCCTTTTCAACAAACTATGACCGCCCCTTCCACTCTCCATTAATTAACCAACATGAAACTCCACACGCTCATGTTATTACTTGTCATTAGACATTTGCGCAACATTCAATCCACAGCAATTGAATCAACATCGACATACTTCACATTCGCTGGAAATATCGCTGGATCATTTAAAAAATTGTTGGTAATGCCTCGTTGTGATGTTATATGCACATCAGGAAGGAATCGCAGAGGGAGCGGCTGGTTAATGTCATCCGTGGAACTGTCCCAGGAATAACAATTCAAATCATCATCATTATTTACATATTCGGGCGACCTTCAATCCAGAAAGACCAATGGCAAATAATTTCGTTGAAAAAATTACACTTGCAGAATTTTTATTATGCCTGTCGCTGATTGAAGTAATTGAAAATTTAATTCCACTTGAGGGAGGTCGAACGATCCAATCATTCAAATCATTTGTATTAACATCGACTTAACAATATTACAGAGTCTAATTAGTTTACCTTTTGAAGAAGACTACAATTTTTTCGCAGTTATTACTTTTCAAATAATTAAGACAAACATTATTTTAGAATATAATTTAATAAATATTAATTAATCATTTTTGGAGGGTTTCAAGTATGGTACCTGTATCAGAAGAACTTTTTTTGTTGGGTGTAGCTTTGAAAGTTGTCTTATTATATTGGGCATAACGGCCTACATCATTCATCGGGACTCACCTAAAATTCAAGGATGAATTGGAATAATGCTGTAATGAGTACATGAAGAGGTCGAAAGTGAATAAAGGAGATCGGGGAATGGCTCCCACTTAGCTCTTTATTTCGTCATTCATAAGATCATTGTCCTGGAGTGTCTTTTTAGCGATTTAAATGTAATGCGCGGTAAATGGATGGAATTCCGCGGGTATTTCACTGCATACGGTTAAAACGTTAAATTAAACGTTAAATTATAAAACCGCTGGAGCAATCGATGTGCAGTATTATTATTTATTCATCACGATTTATTTCTTGATAAATTCACAGATGAACCGCACCCGGGCGAACTGTCTCACGTCTGACGAAATGACAGATTCTTATCACTGAATTGCCAATTAAACATAATTATCGATTGGTTCTTATTTTTTATCATTTTTATTATTTTTTTTTCACATACTTCAGAATTCCGCCAAAGAGGATAATTTCCCGTTCCAACATAAAACGCTGTCATAAGCCATCAACTCGCTGTATTTCCAACACATTTACATCGGCATAGCAATTCCAATACGAATTAAAAAAACCACTTTTCTTTAATAGTGAGAAACAAAGCATAAATAACTTTGTTAAATTCATTCGTAAGAGGCTTTGAAAGGGCCATAAAAACACCACAGAACAAAACTTACGGTTTGTTGGACTATTCGCTGAGGAATATCATGACACGGAGATTGCTGATTTCAAGGAATTGCTGGGAAAATTCATTTCAGGTTATTTTCGGTTATTTCACGGTTTTTTCTTCCATTTTGCAAGTTCAATTGAACAAAATAATTAAGAGAACGATAATCTTTAACAATGAACATCAAGATTTTTTTTTATTTACGTACCGTCGATGATTCCTGATGATGCGAGCGACGAAGTTCCACCCTCGAGGTTCGCGGATACGTTAACACCTCGCACCGATAAATTCTCATCTCCACTTTATTTGTCACAGGATAAATAATCGTTGACTGCACAACATCAATTACATCAGGAGTTTCCCGCTGATACGTTAACGACGAATATTGAAATATCGCTCGGAGGAATTACCATAAACCGTGGAGTGAATCAATTTCCCACTCTCAAGAAACGACCATTTGAATGATTTTCCATCGATTGATCACATCTGACAAATGATTGCATCGGTAATGATTTGGAAGATTCATCATCAGTGGATTATTACGGGAATGCGTGGGTGATTGTCTGCAAAAACGAGCGGTAAATCTACCCTAATGACTCCAGGCTGTGGGTCAAAAAGCCCCGAAGGCATAACCGATAATAAAGTAGAAAAAAAAAGTAAACTATTCAATATTCCCCTGGGAATATCCACGTTGCAGCCACTCGAGGACACTGGCCCCTTCATAATGAATTACCGTTAATTATCGGGCTATTGTTGGGGCATCGATGCATGTGATAAATCAATTCTTCACGTGCGTAATGATTGCAAATCGATTTCAAAGAGATCCGTTTGATTTATCATCTGATTTTTCAGCTATTTGCCTCTTTGTATTGCATTAAGAGAAAAATGCAATGAAAGCAACAGAATAATTTTTGAAAAAAAATTTCGATTACTCGAAATTCACTCATTTTATTAAGTCGTAGATTCATCACACGATTGAATCTTTGGAATAATGACTTCCGGAGATAATACGAAAACTTGTTTACAGTTGCTGCTCACATATATTTTTTACCTACGAGAAAGATTTTTAGTATTTTTCTACGAACATCTTATTAGATATTCTGGATGTTCGCATGAGTATTTTTTTTATGAATAAACGTTAAATTAGTAACGTATATTGTTATTAATTTAGTATTCACTAATATAAATTATAATTCATAAATTAATAACTATCAAGTATTATAAACTTGATTTCGCAGATATTGGCCTTGTTGATCATTTTAAAAAACCAGACAAACTGCAAAATAGGGAAAATAAATAAAGATTTATTTAAAATTGATATTCATGAATTTTGGGAGAGAAAGCACTTTCCCCCAAAAAAATTTAATAATTGCATTAACATTGATTTCATGTATATTCGGGTTGTAGATGATTACAGAACTCTGAAATACAAATTTTTTTTTAGAAATGACTACAAAATGTCTCTGAAATTATAATAATCCCTGGATGTGTTAGCTTTATTAATAAATATATGCCGAGCGACGCTGGGCACATAATTAGAAAAATAAATTGGCCTTTAAAGTTGTCTGAAAGTTATGAATCATGAATCTGAAAAATCAAATAAATGTATGAAGTGAAAAATAAAAATGGGAGGAAGAGAATTGCGTAATAGGCAAGATGTCGGCGCATGTGTGCTCTCGGGAGATAGTGCCTGGGGCTGTCAGAGACCTTGTGATCGTGCATGAGAACTGGGTTGTCGGGTCCCTCGTGTGCTGATCTTTTGCGCACGCGCACCTTCTCACCAGGTCCATCGCACACCCGAATCGGATCTGCAGCTCGATCTCCACTATTACCTTCCCTTTTTCAATTTTTTAGTCATTTTTTATTCCAAATTGAAGCTGTGCATTCGCTCGATTTTTCCAATTGCAATTTCCAAAAACTAACCAAAACTCAAAATAATAGAATAATTCCAAATAATTTTATCAGTTCATTGCCATAATTTGAGATTAGCTGCATACCAAATTTTCTTCCATAATTTTTCCCAAACATCTAAAAAAATCAAATAGATTCAATTTTCGTCATTAAAGCATTCATGTTAATGTTCTCTATTTATAACAATTAAAATATTAATTCAATATCATAATAATTAATTAAATTACTACAATGTGTTTTTGTAATGCTCGTCCTTTTTAAATCTCAGACAAAGACCGCATTTTCTACTGATTAATGACTCGATTGGATGACAAATGAGTCGAACGATCCATTGATGATTATGAATTTCAGGTGCTGGGACCCGTCTCGGGCTGTCATGTCAATCCCGCTGTCACTATTGGTCTTCTAGCCAGTGGTAATTGCAGTATTCTCAAAGCATTGTGTTATGTTGTATGCCAGTGCTGTGGGGCAATTGCTGGAGCTGCTGTTTTGAAGGTAAATCATTCAGTTTTGTGGCTTAACGCTCGAGAGCTCTGAATAATGATACGTATTAACTCGAGATGAGAGTTGAATGCATTCATAATCGCCTTGATGGACTCAATCAGCAGAATGATTTAGCTCGATTCAATGGAAATTTATTGACCTTTCATTTAATCCGATTGGCGGAAAGGAGTTGAAGAGAAAAATGTTTAAATTATAATCACTCTATATATAATATATAATATATAATATTGCCGATAGAATTGCATCATTGAACTTCAGAAAAATCCACACAATTATCAAGTGATCTCTTCAGGTATTTTTCCAGTCCTTATCTATTCAGCTCGGAAGAAAAAATATTTGTAAATTTTTTTAATGAGAAATAAAATAATACATCGAGCGCCAGAATTTGAAATTAGTCCTTAAATCTGAAAAATTATAGTCTTGAGAATATTTCGATAAATCGCAACAACCCAGAAAAAAATTAAAGTACCGCCGCGGCTCATGATCGCCCGATAAAAATTGCAAATAAAACATTCATATCAGAAAGGAGATAACTATCTTCGCGTAACACTTCATGCATAAATTATTCCATTTTTCCAAAAACGCAATTGCGAGAAAAAAAAGAGAAGAATAGAAATTTGGTCGAGATTGTCAGAAGTGAGATTTGACAAAGCGAGTATAAAAATGATCAATTGATGAGATTAAAATACCCAGCGGCATTTTCTTCTCGATTTTAATCGAGGACAAGTGACAATTCCAGAATATTAAATTTTGACTGACGCCACTTCATGCTCTCATGAAGATATTAGGAGGAAAATAGAGGAGGAAAATAGAGAAGAGGGATTGAAGATGAGCAATTGGAATTCGAAATAAATATCGAGATAAGAAATGTTCTGACTTTCTTTTCCAGGTGGTGATTCCGCCGGCGGCTCAAACCCATGGTCTGGGAGCAACAATCCTAGGTGCAAACGTCGATGGAGGACAGGGTGTCCTGATGGAGGCGATAGTAACGTTTCTACTGGTGCTCGTTGTCCACGCAGTAACGGACCCCAAAAGACCGGACACCAGGGGCTGGGCCCCCCTGGCAATTGGCCTGACAATATCCGTGGCTCATATGGCGGCAGTCCCTATCACTGGGAGCAGCATGAATCCAGCCAGAACCCTCGGTCCAGCTGTGATCCTTACGGAATGGAACAATCACTGGATCTACTGGGTTGGTCCAGTCCTCGGTGGTGTCGTTGCAGGTGGTCTTTACAAAACAGGACTTCGAGTCAAGTCCAAGGAGGACGACGAGGCTTCCTATGACTTCTAAATCCTCTTCTCCGAGCAAAACTGTATTTGAAAGCGGGCTTTCGATAAATACACCAATTAGCTTTATCTCATCGTCATTTTAATTATGTAAAAATTGCAATTGTCTATTTGTTCTTGCAGCAATAATCGTGACCTTTCGTTGAAGAAAATTCACTAGGAAATTGAACGTGGATATTCATAACATAACAAAAAAGACAGTGGAAAAATAATTTTCAATCAATTTATGAAGAGATCTCCCGTTTCTCATCGATATCTTTCCTTGGGACGTTTTTAATTGAATTTCATAATAACTAATGACGTTTTCGTTTGAATGTTTCATCTGCAGCGATAGAATTTCCTTCTGAATTATTTCATACGTGTCTCCTTGCTTTAAGATTCAAAGAACAATGAAGAGAATTGAAAAATGGTAATTGTATGATATTTCGGTAAGACATGCGCACATCGGTAAACAAGTGCAAACTTTTCTCCTTATTTCTATTAAGATAACGATTCTACTCGTGCTTATTAAGTATTAATGTCAATTAAGGTTTTGTATATATTGTACTTACGATTCTAGTATTATAACACGTACCTCTGTAATTGCACCCAGTTTTTTATGTACAACAGTTCGAAACATAAGATTATTAAAATGCAGATTATGCAAAACCATTTTTTTTAATATTCTTTATGCATTATTCACCTATTATTTATTATTTATGATTTACTCTTTGAAGCGATGAAGTGGGAGGTAATCAGCACTAGGATTGATACGTCGATTAATTAATTTGCAGGCATAATTAATTTGGTATACCACGTTATACGAGGAGAATGCAATTACACTCGGGATTATTGAACTCTGAGGAATATGAGTTAATCATAGAACATCCCACCTCATAGTCATTCCCCTCCTGTTTCGATGGATCAATTATAGAATGCACGAAAATAGTGAACAGCTTTCACAGAGCAGCTCAGCGTGACTTCCCGTCGTCGCCGGTCGTTTTCTTTATTACAATAAAACATTGTTAAAGGTTTTGGTATTGCAAATAAAAAATGGAGGACGATGATATCGAAATCGCGAGATACTTCAAGTCGAATTTGGTGGCCGTGAGGCGCGCGATTGATGCTGATGATTTCCGCAAGTTTGTGAATTTGGAGAAAAATAGTGAGAGGGTGGCTTTCATATTGAAATATCCGGAGGCTCACGTTTTGCCGTTGGAGATTGAAGACGCTCCAGTTAAGAATTTGGAGAAAGCCTTGAAGATTAAAGAATCTGGAAATAAATTTTATTCGCAGGGTAACTTTATGAAAGCACTGGAAACGTATTCGAATGCAGTTTTGATTACTCCTAAAAAAGGTCAGTCTCCAGGATGGAAATTATTGTCGTATTGTATTGAATCAAAAAGCTACAAAATTTTCCAAAATTTACCCCTGAAAATCGAAACAAAGAATTCAAACCGTCTATTGCATTTTTATTGAAGTGCCAAAATTTTGACAGAACTGGGAATTTTCCTCGCGAATCGTTCAGCTGCTCTTCACAATCTGGAACTTTACGATTTGGCCCTGAAGGACATCAACGAAGCTCTGCGCATTGGTTACCCTAAGGAGTTAATTTACAAAATAGAAGAGCGCCGTGCAAAATGCCACCTAGCAATGAAAAACCATCCAGCTGCAGTGGATTCCTTCAGGAATACTCTCCAAGCCCTAGATCACGCGAAACTTCCCCTAGAACGAAAGCAAAAACTGGAATCTGACGTCCGATTGATGCTGGCGATGATGGAGAAATCGAAACAGCTCAGCGAGGGTAACAAAACGTCTGTGAATCAACAAACGAAGGGTGTGGATTATACATCATCGGTTCCAAAAATGAAGGATGTCAATCCAGCTTATCCAGCTTGCAGCTCTGCTGTGGAAATCAGGGATGCAGGTGGAGATATCGGAAGACATGGAATTGCAACTCGAGATATCATGCCTGGTGAAGTTATCATGATTGAGAAACCGTATTGTGCTGTAGTACTCGGAGAGTACAGGTGAGTGAGAGAAAATCCTTCTTCCCATTGGATCAATGATTTTTAATTGCGACAAACAATAGCTTGAACTTTTCGGCTTTCAACCTGTCTCCATTCTCAAAACTGTTGTTAACATTGCAGATTGACGAACTGTCACTACTGCTTCAAAAAAAATATCGCTCCATTTCCCGCAGCCTGTGACACCTGTGCACTGATCGCCTACTGCAGTGCGAATTGTCGAGATGCCGATGCAAAAGCCCACATCAATGAATGTAACATTTTGGGACCACTTTGGCTGTCCAATGCCTCCATCACCTGTCTCCTGGCAATCAAAGCGGTTATCCAGAAGCCTTATGCCAAGCTTAGAAAGTTGAAGGAAGCAATAGAGAAGTCTGATAAAACGTTTCAGGCTTCCAAGGATCACCCCTTCAGGGCGAGTGACTACATGGCCTTCTATTCTATGGGTAATTAATTCTCATGACTCAATACAAATTAATTAATTGTTGTTGTTTGTCCAAAACTGAATTTATGAAAAGCCGGAAATTTTGAGGATTGACGGTTTAAACTTTCAGTTACTCACGAAAGTGAAAGAACTCAGGAAGACCTCTTCCACAGAGCGTACATGGCTGCATGGCTTCTTAGAGTATTGAAAAAAAGTTGCTATCTTCCTGAAGAAGTCAAAACCCAGGATCTCGCTGGATGCCCTCTTAGTGAGGATGAAGAATTTTTCGGTGGTCTCTTATTTCATCATTTACAACTCCTTCAATTCAATACCCACGAAATATCAGAATTGGTTAGACCGAGGAACGATCACACCCTGCAGAAGGCTAAGAGTAATTTTATAGCTGGGGGTTTATTTTGCACACCCGCTCTCCTGAATCACTCCTGTAATCCTGGAATCGTTCGGTGAGTTTGAAATTTTTTAACAATTTTATTACATCGTTAAACTCGACGTGATTTAAGAACGCGCCTCAGTAATTTTTTTATAACAATCAATTTTTAATGGTCAAATGAAATTTGGCAGAGCGTTAGTCGAATTATTATCGATTTCCGCTGAGGTACATTGTTGATATCAATGTGCATTCACTGTAAAATTATATCGACAAGTCATTGCTCATGATTAAATTTGTCTCTGATTAAATTTCAAGGTACTTCGAGGGAACGACGATGGTGGTACGAGCGATACGAACAATCCGAGCAGGAATGGAAATCTGTGACAATTACGGTCCTATTTTCACGATGGAGCCAAAAGGGGAACGTCAAAGGAAATTAAGATTGAAGTATTGGTTTGAGTGCGGGTGTGAAGCGTGTGTCGGTAATTGGCCGCTATTAGAAGATATTAATCCGAAAATTCTGAGGTGAGAATCAATATTAGTAACTGTATTTTTATAATCTCCATAGAACATCCAATTTTTTATCCATTATTTAAATATTTGCAATCTTCCATTTCCAAGTCTTGTCAAATATAAAAATCCATTGAAAATTTGGAAATTTATTGACATTATTAATTGTTCTGTCAGAGTCTGTGAATACTTAAATATATTTCTGAATAATATTTCAATGACAAAGTGTCAAAGCATGTTTCTAAGTTGATGAATAAATAAATTCGCAGATTCAGGTGTGAAAGTGGACCATCCTGTGGCAACGTCCTCTCAGTGAACGTCGACATAAACGAATTCATGTTAAACTGCTCTAAATGTGGCAAGAGCACGAACATCATGAAAGGTCTGAAAGCCCTGCAGGATACTGATGCACTTTTCAAACTAGCCTCGAGGCAGCTCGAGGATGGCGAGCATAATAAGGCCTTAAAGACTTATTTGGATATTCTGAAATTGTTTGACGAGACTCTGGCATTACCCATTCGGGATTATCACCTCTGTCAACAAGGAGTGAGGCTCTGCATGCTACCACTCGGCAATACTGCCTGGCAATCTTTAATAAATCTTTAATCATGTCAATGGAATACATGGAAATCAGTATAAATTTTTCAAATAAAGTCAACTGCGAAAATATATGCATTACAGATTTATTTCCAATCTTAAATCGATAAAAAGTATAAAATAATGAATAGAACGTAAAACGTCAGAGTTTCGTGTAACTCGACGTTATTCCACCTAAATTTATCTCCAGATCTAACCAAAATAAATCATCAATTGGTTGAGCATCGTTAAATCAAATGACCAATGAAACTCTCACTCGTACAAATATTACATTTATCTCATCAATAGTAATTAAGCTCATGAAAAATTATTCGTACATTTGCCATTGAATTCGTTTGTCTTCAATAATGCAAATTAGCTATTAGCACAAGTCCAGTGATGCACGATTAAACTCACACAAGTCGAACGACTCATTTACAAATTAATCGCGTGTTAATGCCAAGACAAGCTGGTCTGAAGCGGATATTTTCGTTATCTCTTCTCGCTTTTCAATAAATCTTGTTCATGATCTATTTGTATTTTTAGTGAACATAGTGACAGCAGTTTATATACAAATAAAACAATATTAATCTGATGTTAACGCCTCCTAGAATTCATCGAGATCATCTTCTTTGTTGTCACCTAACTGTAATTAATTTTTAAGAAATACATAGTTAATGGAATCGTTCAATTGATTGTTAGTTCGGCTAAGGAAATTCGTGGGAATTCTTTTTCTTTTTTGGTGGATTTTTGGGAATTATCTGTACCGTCTATCACGTGAATCAGAACGAGAGCGGCGGTCTCGGCTGCGGCTGCGAGTCAGAGATCTTCTGCGTGGACTGCGTGACCGAGACCTAAAAATTGAAAAAGCATTTTATTACCCCGTCTATGAAAATCCTAAATACGTTTATTAATATTTTCACTCTTCTGTTGCATCTCATTGTCGATAATTTGAGTCATCGATAAGGAAATATGAAAGAGTCTGAGACTGCTAACAAGACACAACAGAATAAATAAAGCTCACTTGAGTGTCACACATATGTAAAAATTGACTAATTCCTAATTTCCTAGTACTCCGGGGTAAATAACTATTAGAAATAGTAATGACAAAATACGTATTGACATCTCACCAATAAATTAATGAAAAAACAAGTGAAAAACTCAGAAGAATAAATAAACGGTGAAAAAACTTAATTGTTATTGGCTCAGTAACAAAGTGGTAAGCTCTCATTCGAAAGTTGTTAATTTATTTTCATCGTAATGAGCGACCTTAGAAAAGAATGTTGAACAATAAAGAACTGTCGCTCATCATTTTTTTCTCAAATCTCAACCCAGCAAGATATAAAATATTAGTAGTGCCGAAAAATTGGAAAAGTTTTGCACAGTATCTCGGAATCTAAGAGTGATAACGATGATTTTCGTATCATCATTGGACCCAGAGATATAAAAACTGCCAACTGCAAACTGTATTGTCACCACTCAGCTACTGAATTAGCACTCAAACTCAATAGTTTCAACAAATAATAGATGTTTTATACATGTACGTATGCAGATATCATATATTAACAATAAAGTCTGCGTTAGTTCCTTTTGCTCATGATTTCCAACGCTAAATTCACCAAATATTGATTCAATTCCTTTTCGTGTGTCTAATGAGATCGGGGAAATCACCAGCGGAGAGGAACTCAGCGCGCCGACAAAACAATATCAAAGGAAAAACTAAAAAATTATAATAAAAAACATTTGAAAATCGGTGAAAATACCAGACAACTGTGAACATGTGGTGGTGGTTGGTGGTGGTGGTACTTGGTTGGGTGGTGGGATGGTTGTGTAGGTGATTCATTTTGGCTTTGCTCGATCGAAGAGAAGTGGCGGTCGCATATTGGTTCAGCTAAGTTAAACTGTGATGGTTGACGAGGTAGCAGTAGTAGAAGTTGGGAGACGATAGCGCGTCGTGATTTATTACTATCGAAGATTGTTTTTTTTTTGTTTTCGTTTGCTAGATATTTTTTTTTTATTATATTTCATATTTCGCGTTGAGGCGTATCGATGGGTAACGATGAGCTCCTAGATGGGCCTAGAAGATTGCTGATAGACCGGAGTAGATATTTGAAGGGCAACTGACGGTACCGACGGACAGCAGCGGGCTGTCAATGTGACGGACGACTTGGCTCCTAGTGGTGATTCTGGTTGGTGACTGATGGTGAACTTGGTTGGGAGGTTAGTGGGCAGGCAGGCTATTTTTTTTTTTCAGTTTTGATTGCTAGACTTGTTTTTCGATATTTATGGCTCTATATTTTTTTTTGTTCACGGTGGCTGTAGTAGTAGTAGTAGCAGTAGTAGTAGTAGTAGTAGTGGCGGGGAGACGAGCAGAGCTAGGAGCTGACACTGGTAGAATCTGCAAACGTCAGGTTTACCAATATAACTATCATACGTTATCATACTCCTTGCTACTATTCCGCAAAATAATATTATGATATTTGCTCTTATTTTTCTCATGTTACTTGATAGATGTAGTTTATAATTGTCACTCTCAATTAGCAAATCATAACTATTGAATTATCCTAGACTGCCCACTCTAATGCATTTATGGAAGAGAAATCAGATTGTAGGTTGGTCGAATAATCTCACTTCATTCTTCGACATTATTCTAGAATTGTCCTGATTTTTTAAATTTCATTGCGAATATGATGGATAATTCACATTATAAGTAATGGACAAATTATAGAAACCAATTCCGGTTTGGAAGAAAATGACTTGCTTAAGTACGTATGGCCTTAGTAGCAAAGTGGTAAAATCGGTTGAGTCTGGTTGATGGTGAAGTTAAAGAAACGTATTTGATAATTCAACCAGAATCAAATTACACTATTAATTCAAATATCTTTAATCACCAAATTCATTTACTTAATATAACATTAGTCAAATTATATTTTTAATTACCACTTTGTCCACTGAATTATAATCCAAAATAATATAAAAATAAAAATAATGAATAATGAGTAAACATACACTACTTTCGTCTTCCATCTAATACGATAAATTCAAACCATTGTTTTGAGAATTGACACTTCAGTTTTCTTATGCTCAACCACCCATTGCTTAATTAATTCTATGAACATAAGACATTCTTTATATACCGAGGATAGCTGTACACTCATCTCACAACTCAGTGTTAATAAAGTGTGTAAATTAGTGGCTCAGCGTGCAATATACCACCATTAATTAAGCAATTCTACATACACCCCTGCATGGAGGAATGGCTCACGTTGTTCACCTGCAAGACCTTAAAAACGTCTACCAACCGGATGAATAAAATTAAATTACCTGGAGTAACGGTCGTATGGCGAACGCCCAGAACTCCTCGATGTCGACCTAAGGAAGTAAACAATGGATAAACGAATTATGAGGATCACATTCCACCGCTTGTCCAATCGTTCCCTGAGGGAAAGAATTATTACCAGTCTTACCTGGAGTATCGATCTACTGATCTCCCACGAGGACTTCGAGACCTGGACCTATAAATTTTGTAAAGAAATATCAAGAGTACAGAGAGAGTACCACAGAAGAACTATCTACTGAAAATTTATGATGAAGAGATTATTCTTTAGTGATGATTTAGTAGTGGAGTGATAAATTAGTGTGAAAGGATTGTCATACTGAGAGAACAAATTAATTATTTTTTTAGTGCAATTAATTAATCTCCTGTTGATATGCACAATCTACGTGAGCTTAATTTCAGCTTGTCGGTCGTATAAAGAATGTCCATCAAGATATGTGCTAAGTAGTCTAATCGTGCATTCTCAATAAAATTAAAATTACATACATTTCGATTATACCTACTTGCAAGAAGTCGCGAACGATTTTATTCGCCCGCTTGGCTGGCTGGAAATTTCAAGTATCGAGTGAATTTTTTTAGCTTTACTGACCTTGAGTATCTGGGACCTGCACGACGTCCACCACCACCTCGACGACTACGACCCGAGGACATTTCAACCCTCACTCGTGTCCCACAGCAACGTCTGCATTGAAATGAATCTCTCATTATTCTATTCTTGGATTTTCACTCTATCTTGTTGTATTATTGGAATTGCAAATGGGGAAGGGGAGTGATGTCCTTGCGTGCGAGACAGAGAAGAGGGGGAGGTAATTTAATCAAATTACTTTTGCATTTGTACTGTGTGGTGTAGTACACTTTGTAGATATTGAATGCAAATGAAAGTTCATTCTCAGTTTTATGCCATCAATTTTTCTGTAGTTAATTATTCTGATGAAGGTGGAATTTTCCTTTTGTAAACATGAAGAGTAAATAGAGTAGAAGGGATTAAAGGGGGTTCTTCCATCAAAGATAGCGGGACAAGGGTTTTAATCCCTCGTGATGCTACTTCAAAGACTATTTGATCGGTATTATCATATTCGGAGCGATAAGGCCTTCGAGTCGTAATTGTTCACGAAGGATAAATGTAAGGTTTCTTCTTCCATGGAACGATATTTACAGATTTCGTCTGATGGGAATGAGAAAATTTCAACTCTGACAGGTTGGAAGACGTTCTGTAATTCTCATTGAATATTTTTCGCCGTCTAACTGGAAATGATAAAATGTCTTTCCGATTTCTACCCGGAACGTTGAATTGTTTAAATAATCAATTCATCACAGAAATTAGATTATGACCAATAGGCCAATTAATTGCTCTGAAATGTTGTTCTCCCAAGTACAATAAAATTGTCATGTGACATACTCGCTCATTGTTTATCTAGTGTTCTTGAAATTACTCACTTTCCATGGAGTCCTCTAACAGCGTCCTCGGCATCCCTGGGATCTTCAAACTCAACAAATGCAAAACCTGGTGGATTTCTCGCAACCCAAACATTCCTCAGTGGTCCATACTGACTGAATGCATTCTCAATCTCGTGTTTACTCGCACTACTTCCAAGATTACCGACGTAAACTTTACAAGACAAATCCCACTCCCGATAGCGTGACATCGTGATTTGGAGCCTGAATAAAATAACAACTCACATAATTTATCTACACAAGTTCCTTCCACCGACAATTATCACATCCTGATTAAGATGAAAAATTCCCAGAGATTCTTTTAATTTTTCATTCAAAAAATGGATAATTTCTAGGAGAACTGACATGAATCCAACGAATCGACCGAAAGGGCGTGAATTTTCCGACGATTATTACAGGCCACGCTAGTCACTAATTTTGCTGGAACCAGGTCTGTTCACCACTTGACGCTCCAGACACCGACATAATTTTATGAAATTTAACTAATTTGGAAGTAAGGGAACACTGCACTTACCTTTGTCAAACAACAATAAACTGGTTACTCAACGAATTAAAATTATAATGAGAGGTGACAGTGAACACTTGCTGATACCGCCTGTCTAGGTACACTGAGGTGTACTCCATACGCAGAAATGCGACAAAATGGTGGTCGTTCCCTCACATCAGTTTTACCCGTTTTACCTCTCTTTCTCCCACTATCTCTGGCACTGGCCTTCGTATTGAAACTGGCAACTGCGCACTTGAAGTATAGATACTAGTCTCATGTCCTTCTCCTCACCCCTTTTTTTTCACCACCTATATTTCTCCACTCGTACATTCCTATATTTTTGGAAAGAATTTCAAGAGAATTCTGTTTCATGACAGAGGTACAAAAAATAATGTTTAAAAACTAAGAAAAACCAATCAAGATATATACTGAATTTATTTGAAATCTCCAGTTAATTGTTACAGTATAAAATGAGATGTACAGCACATAAGACCATTATTTCTCTCATTATTGTACCTCTTCACTATCGTTCTTGATGTGTCACGCTGTCATCTGGCAATGGAATAAACTCCACCATTTATTCGATTTTTACATCAGCTCACTCATTATTAAAATGGAGTGGGATTCCCCGAGGGAAATTATTCACACTTATTCTTACAAATTTATCGCTCTAATATGATTCCAAAAGTAATGGGTAACATATTTCTTCTATTTCATCTCAAATTACTTCGCATTTCGACTTATAATAGTCGTATACCTTCTTCAAAAACGACCACAAAATTCACGTGTAAAAACTATTTAAATTAATTAGTTTAATCGCTAATCGTCAGCAGTATGTATGTGAAGTTAATGCATACATAGTCAATGGTAATTCTTTTCTTTTCCTTTTTCATCTCCTCATGTTAAGTCCCACAGTGTTTTTAATCGGAGTACCACTTAACTGCGAATAATTAAATTCCCTGCTGTTATTCTGAATATTACGTTGTTGTTTAATTAATATCCTTACCGTCTGTCTCGTGAGTCAGAACGAGAGCGACGATCTCGGCTCCGACTGCGGGTTAGAGACCTTCTGCGAGGGCTACGAGAACGTGACCTAAAAGTTAACAAAAGAAACGGAGTTCATTATTTATGAAATTTAGAGCGATTACTGACATTGTCGTTGAACTTCCCAATCGTGTTTCTATCTTTCGAATTTACAGTTATCATTTGTCATTCCTAAATTTTTGGATGACCATTAATAAGACAGAAACGCGACTGGTGACAGTTCAGATAGAGATAGATCGTACAAGGCGGTGTGGTAATCGATTTAGGACTAGTTCCTATTGGCTCCTAAGGGGTAATAGTTTAAAATCAGTGGGACGTTATTTATCGTCGATAATATCTCACCAGAGAATCGATCCCAACCAACAACTATAGGGTTTCAATCAATTGCTTTTTAGTTGAATTAACAAAAAGATGAAATTAAGAGATGAAATCAAATAAAATCTTTCAAATTTTCTTTACTTGACTGATAATTCATGTTTTAGTTGAAGAATGGAAATTATCTGAGCTAATGAGTCGACAACGTACAATTTTTATTTTGCTTTCTGAATTACTTTCCCATGATTAATTCTGTGAAAATTCTTGCTCATAAATTCCCTTAATTTTCTCCGCTGCATCTCTTCATTAATTGTAATAATTAAGAAAATTCTTATTAAAATTCCAATCTAAATTGTTAACCGTTTGATAAAAATTATTCAATTTGTAAATTTTATAGAATAAATATACCACGAAGAATTCCTCATTAGCCCAGTAAAATCTAAAAATAAAATAATAAGAAGAATAAAATAATAAGAATTTTTGAAAATGGGTGAAAATACCAGACAACTGTGAACATGTAGTGGTGGTTGGTGGTGGTTGGGTGGTGGGATGGTTGTGTAGGTGATCATATTGGCATTGCTCGATGGAAGAGAAGAGTGGCAGTCGCATATTGTTCAGCTAATATAAACTGTGATGGTTGAGACGAGTAGCAGTAGAAGTTGGGAGGCGGACGCGTTGATCGTATATTTATCGAAGATCATTTGATCGATAATCGCGCTGAGGCTGATTTGTAGGACGGGTACGATGAACTCCTAGTTGGCCTAGAAGATTGTAGCACCGACGTAGTTATCATTGGCATTTATTACTTTAGTTTAGGTTCGAAACTAACTGAGGTGACTGACGAACAGCAAGAGGTGACTAACGGACTGTCAATGTGACGGACGACTTGGCTCCTATTCGGTGATTCTGGTTGGTGACTGATGGTGAAGTTGGTTGGGAGGTTAGTGGGCAGGCAGGCTATTTTTTTTTTTCAGTTTTGATTTCTAGACTTTTTGTTCGATATTTATGGCTCTATATTTTTTTTTGTTCACGGTGGCTGTAGTAGTAGTAGTAGCAGTAGTAGTAGTAGTAGTAGTAGTGGCGGGGAGACGAGCAGAGCTAGGAGTTGACACTGGTAGAATCTGCAAACGTCAGTTTTACCAATATAACTATCAAATGTTATCATACCCCTGGCCACTATCCGCAATATGATTTCATGACAATTTTCCATTATTCCTTTTTATCTGGAGTTATTTAGCAGTGAGGGGTGAAATTGGTTGAAAGGATAAAACGATAATGAGCCTTCACTTCAGCTTTTATTTACTGAACTGACGTTTCTCGATTCTCAACAACTCCACATTTGTTGGTGAATAATATTTTCAACACTTTCAGGGTATCCCAGTACTTTCGGATTCTTTCATTCAAATTGGTTTCTATGTCTGCAGCGAAATGAGAGCGCCCATTTACATTCGCGTTTTGAAAAAGATGTATACAATAATTAGACAATTTCAGTTCAATTTTCGACGAAATGGAGATTGTCTCAAAATTTTATTAGGAATCGATTTCATGCAGAACAAAAAACAGTGTAGTTGGCATAATGTTGCATTCTAATCAATTTTTCTCTCGCGAGTGAATTTTATTCGATTCGATTGTATACCAAATTATGGAAACTATTCTAAAAATTGCACCTTCCTTGTATATCTCAAAGTTTTAGCGCTTCACACACACTATTTTCCAGCTAACTTTCCAGGTCGCCTTACCACAATCCGGCGAATGCGGTACGGCGATGGTTATGACTTTAAGCGGAGTTATATGAAATTTCATTTGTACCGAAAATGTTTCGTCTTATTATCCACTTGAATTTCATATTACGAGCAAGCATAATGGATTTCACTGGATATCAAGAAAAAAATTGGCAAAATATTTTAAGTTATTGGAAACAGTACATACTCATTTCCTCAGCTGACCGGGCATTTCAACTAAACAATGCTGAAATACAAAGTGACGAAAATGAAATTGCATTATTGAAATTACTATTACCTGGAATAGCGATTCACTGGAGATCTCTTGGGACTCTTTGACAAGGACCTGAAGAAAGAATAAAATAACAGAAGAAATATTAATCATAAGTTCTATCCTTCATCCCATGTTTTCGTTTATTCTATCGCCTATAAAACCTATCATTTTGAAATTTTGAATCCTATCTTGAGCTGTATCATTTTATTCAGACTTACAAATAACACCCGAAACTACTTGATTTTTTTAATTAAAAGAATCCATTTTATAATAGTTTTTTTTCTATTATGTGAATGTAATCATTATTACGGGAAAGTATTTACGAATAACCGAACTCAGTTGCGAATTTGTTGCGCTTCATCCCACAGTTTCACTATCAAGTGGAAGTTTCGTAAAAAGAGACGACCGTACCTGGACACGATTTTTCTCATGTCACCTGGAGTAGGCGATACGAAGGGAGGGATTAGAAAGTTGGCTGGAAATTTGTGTGTGAACGCACGAGGAAGAAAAAAATGTAATCGTAACCGTTGTGCAAAATATGAATGACGCAGATTATTTAAAATCTGAATCTGATAGAAATGATCTCTTACCTTGGATATCGACCAATGGATTTCCTTCGAGGACTGCGTGACCGAGATCTAAACAAATTTGAAAACAAACGGATGCATCATCAGGCCGAATGTAATCACTTATTTCGTATTGAAAGAGCAATGCAAAATGATGCCGATAAATGATAATTATCCATTGGTAAATTTCCTGTTGTCTTGGGGGGTTCAGAAAAAAATCTAATAATCAAGTGGAAAATTACCGCGGAAGTAATTTCAAATAATTTCACTGAAGAAAATTGTCGGGAGATATTACTCCAAGAATTTGATGACCATTCCATTCATTTATCTGATCAGAGATAAAAAATTTTCATATTCTATAAATAAAACACTCGAGGACTGAGAATGTGAGACGAGTTCAACCTATTCTTGTCGCATTAACTTATCACGTCATCCTTATCACACGAATGATAATTTTTCTATCTAAATATACGTTTTCCGAGAAATATAGTCGACGTCAAAAGATATAAAATATGTAGTTGAAAAAAATTGATAGACAGGACTTTCACCTGGAGTACCTAGGACCTGCTCGACGTCCACCACCTCGACGACTGCGACCAGAGGACATCTCAACTCGTACACGTGTTCCACAGCAACGTCTATAAGCAAATTTAAATCAGACTATTATACCCAATAAAAAAAAATCTACCAAAAATTTCGCATTTCTAGATATTTTCGAATAATCATTTACCTATGATGAATATTATTCAATCAGATATTCAATTATTCATTTTTTCGATTCAGCCTATTTTTGATCATTATTTGCTTGTGAAATAAATCGAATGCAATACTTACGTTCCATGAAGGCCTCTGACAGCATCCTCGGCGTCTCTGGGATCTTCGAACTCAACAAATGCAAAACCTGGGGGATTTCTTGCCACCCAGACATTCCTCAGAGGCCCATATTTACTGAAGACATTCTCAATCTCATGTTTACTGGCACTGCTTCCTAAATCGCCCACGTACACCTTGCACGAGAGGTCCCACTCGCGGTAACGCGACATTTTTCAATCTGCAACGCAATAAAACGTTCCATTTTTAATTATTTTTAAGGAATCCACTGTTGATTGTTGAGGAAAAAGTGAGAGCCTTTTCCGCCATTTTCAGAATAAGGTGATGGGGATGAGAAATTGGTTTTCTAAAAATATTATGCACTGTAGGGGTAAAAAATAATCTTGCTTGCTTCTCGCTTGTTTTATAATGTCAAGAATGATTAGTTTCCAGCCTTGGCGGTTCTATTTTTGAGGATATTTTTCTCCTCGTGTGTGAAATGGAGTAACAATAGGTGTTTCAAAGCACTGGTGACGAAATCTTTTTTCTTTTTTTTGGATTTACCCGGGGCTGTTTATATGAATATCGAAAATGAATAAAATTTTTACTGTTTTACATACTTTATTATTTTATGGAGAGTAATTGCCAACTTTTATCGAGAAATTAGAAAAAAAAAAACGTTCACTGTGGCAGCAGAATGTAAAATGGCAGCTACTCCACACTATGTACTTTTGATCGCTGGTAGAATTATGGGAGCGACATTTGTCGATACGACGCTAGAAAAATATGGCAACGTTGTATTATCTTAACAATTGCAGCGGGAAATTTGAATTCTTCACACTGGGATTGGAGAATGGATTTATTGATTCGAGAGAATTTACATTAATTTTCTATATAATCATTTCTCGTTCATCAACTCCTCGTAATCAAGTGAATAAAGAAGAGAATATCTTTCAGATTTTTTCCAGTTTATTAAAATAATTTTTTCTCGGAGATGATACCATCTCGTATGAATGACACCCATTTCCCCACAAATTCCTCATTTTTATGCTATTTTCGATGATTTATAAATATTTGTAAGCAAATTCGATTCAATTGATTCCTCACAAACACGATCTCACTCTCCAGTCGATTTTAGAACGAAGATTAGAAACTCAATGCACAAGTCTTTTATAATCAATTTTCTCTAACTGCACAAGAGGCTTCAATTGTTCGGCAAATATCCTCATATCTTCAGCAATAGCGTCTTGTCCACTGGGAGCGAGAACACTGAGTTCCACTAGGTAACTCTGGGAGATGGCTTCAACCTGGTCTGGTAGTTTACCCTGTCCCATTTTGAATATTTTGGACACTGTGATCTTCATCCTTCCTTTTCGAAACATGTATCCACGGAGGATGTATTCGAAATCGAGTCTGCATCCTAGTTCTGTGAGAAAGTCGACGACTGTGTTGCTGGTTCCGATGTCAATGCTACTGCGAACTATCGTGGGTCGAGATTTGTCTCCTAGCTCAGGTTGCCCAATGTACCTCAACTGCCAGGGCATGTCTGTACAATCTAAGGCCCTCCTGACACGAAGAAGAAGTGGTTGCTCTGGTGGTGGACCCCTGAAAAAAACAAACGGAAACTAATGATGCATCGAACATTAATTATATTTTTTAAAAATGAATGAATGAATTCAAAGAAATTAATAAATAATTTAAGCATAAGGCTTAATTAATTGTAAATATCTTGAAATTAATACTCAGGGAAAAAGAGTAGTTTACGAAAAATGATTTGTATAAATTTTCTGTCTGGATAATTTTTTAATTTGGTAGAAGCTCCGGGATAGATGAGGTGGATATAAATTTTGGGGAGTCATTATTGAAATAATTACTTTCTAATGCTGAAGCACATTTCATGGTCATGAAAGCCTTCAGGTCCACTGTCGACGTTGTCACAGAGTCCTCGGAGACGTTGAAGCAAAATCTCAACAGCACTGTCCAACACTGAACCCTGGAGTAAATACTCTTGATTCGGGATAATATTGGATTTTAATGCTTGCGTGAGATTATCAATAGCATTACTCGTTGGTGCACCCATTATCCTTATGTCCTACTCGAGAAATAGAGAAAGGTAACATTTTTTAATATCAAATTCAATGTAAAACGAAAACTTCAAAAATACTGAAAGTCTTGATCACAAATTCTTTAATCGTAAACAATAAAATAAATATCGAAGGAAATAAATTAATTATGTACGTGTAAATGGAACTTTTTATATTAATTTCGCACAATATTACTGATAGGTAAATAAATTCTGTGATTTTACGTCTTTTAAATCATTATAAAACATGATCGACGAGAGGTTAACTCTCTAACGACGTCAAATTTTACATTTAAAGAGTAATCCACTTACGGTAATAAATGCAACACGTAGACACGTTTCACTGTGATGGCTAAATGAGAAATTTTTATAGAAATAAATCAATTACAATCTCCCGGAGTATTTGTTTACATCTGTGATGGAAAATCTGAGGAATTCTGCGGTGCCGGTTTCTGGTACATAGGTGCTAGCCATGAAGAATAGAGTAGACTCTATTCTTCATGGTGCTAGCAAAGAGGATTGACTAAAGTAGAGGCTTCGTTCTGGGGGTTTGAGTGACCCCAGCGGCATCGTAGTACTGCACCACAAGAGAGGGAGGGCACCACACGCAATGGGGGTGTCTACCCGTCAGCCGACGGGGTAAATTTTACCCCTCGATTTAAAATACTTCATTACGATTGCCATAAATTTACGGTTTTATGTGAAACACTCTATATTATATACTAAAAAGCAATTGTTTCGATTTTCCCGAAAAAAATGCCATTTCAGGCAAAGCATTGAAAAATATATATATACATATATTTTTGAGGGAAACTTACGCTAGATTTCCCCCTCGGAATCGACATGGACCGATAAACAAAAATTTCTGGGAAATTTGAATGATAATTGTACATAAAACTAAGATGTATTGTAGGAGGAAAATGTAAATAAATTTCGTATTCAAGTGATTCTCATCAAAATTAATTTCTCTGTGCGCAGAATGGTAATTCAGTTAGAGGAAAATTTCCGTAACTCTGCAATAATGTGTTTCAATGAGCAATAATTCTCCAGTGTCATGATGCTTCCGATAAATTTTCTAGAAAATATTTGATATGCAAATCTTTTCAAATTATAGTAGAACTCACATAATTTAAACGTTCCTTTTTTAACTTATGCTATGAACATTGTAATCGCCTTGCCTACTTAACAAAATGAGTCAAATATGTTCTCACTAATAAATCTATCTCTCGGTTTACTTTCCCGTTCATCAATCCTTATGCAATTAGTCAGGGAAAAATCGGCACGTGCGTCGTTGGGAAGAGGAAAATCGCCGTATATTTACACACGAGAGATCAATAATAATTATACCACTTGATAAGTGATAATCACTTACGAAAAGGATTTCCCTCAGACATCAATCCAGGAATAATTACTTTGCCGACGACTTCACACCAGCAATTTCTTCGAAAACGTCTTCGAGCTTGTATAACAAACATTACGCCACCTCCAGTGCCGTCAATGAATAATTACCAACTTATTACATTGACGGCATCCTAAGTACGATCTCTTCGGCATTGTTTCCTCCTTTAGGCGCCGTAGGAGTTGCTTTTTCCTCAATCGCACTGAAAGTGAGGAAAACTGCAATGACTGGGGACGTTCATCCTATTTTTTCTTTGATCAATACACGAAATGGGGATTCCCTGCCATTTCTTTGATTATTCAATCAATAAAAAAATATAACAAAAAACTGTACATATTTTATTCTATAAAAGTGGTGGATCGTGGTGATCCTGTAGCGAGCGCAGAAATTTTTCTGAGAAATTTTTGAAAAATAGTTAAAACGTTTTCTTTAGAGAGATTTTCGGAACGTTTGCCCACTGAAAAAATTAACAGTTAAATACGAGTTCTTGAAGATAATTTATGAGGTACTCCAATCGGGTAAATTACGAGATTAAGAACGTAAATTACGCCACTAAAAACGTAAATTACTATAAATTATGAGGCTCTAACTCGTACATTAGGTTTCTAATCTCACAACTTTACGTTTAAAATTTTTGTTTGTATGAATTATTCAAATGTTTTTGTGGAAATCCTGTGCATAGAGAACAGCCTTCGAAATTAATGTTTCTGTCTATGAATATCATTCGGAATAATATCGTATTTTCATCATTGATGTAAGAAAAATCCGAATTTGAATACCACTTTTGGAAAAATCGATTATCAATATTCACTGTCCACAATGCGGTATTCAATAAAAAGTGATTTCAACGCCTCAACGACGTATTAAATATCATGAAGACCTTGAGAAGCCGTAGAGTAAATAGGTGACAGGAAAATATTTTTCCACATATTTTTCCAACGATAAATTTCGGTGATTACGTTGATGTCATCGAGCTATTGATTGTTTTTCGTCTCTTCCACAATGAAAAAGAGTAATTGAGTGAATGAAAAAATCACTTGTTCCTGCGAATTCATGACTCGGGAATTTCCTTAGTAGAAATTTTCGGCACTTCACAGATTCCACTCTAAAATAAAAGAGATAGAAATTAAATCGATTTAAATGAAGTTAAACATCACTTCGTTATCTCGAAATTGGATTTCATTTTACCTCCGTATTCTCTGTCAATCACAACTTACGTCTTTCGAAATGATAATTTACGCATTCGAAGATCGCTAATTACCGTCCTGCAAACGTACTTGATGTTCTAATTAATTTCTCATTGTTCGGCGGAATATTTTACTCGAAAATTGACATGTATGGAGGTGTAGAATCATTTGAAATTTTATGAGGTAATAACAAATCCTCACCCTAACAATCCAATCAATCTCATAATAAATGAATGTTGTGATGTTCTCCGAAAGACACGATAACACGGTCATCCATCATATATCATGTTGCATGCTCATGTACATGCACTCAAACAACAACATGAAAGCACGTGAATATCCCGTACACATACCCTGTAAGCGATATTTTTCCGTCTTTCAAAATCAAATTTATCGTATTACCGATGATCCACCTCCATCGATGCTATCCGCGTAAGCTCAATTGTATGTTTCTCCAGCCGTGACCTTGTGATGATAATTAAATCTGAGAATTAGCATGAGGATTTATCAAATCAGTAATAGCAATAAAGGAAAAATTGGAAACCAGTTTTCCGGTCTCCCAATGTTGTCATCGCGCGAGAAAAACCGAGTGCAGTCGACATGAAAGAGTCTCACTCTTGTCAGTCCTCTTGCCGCATTATGATGGACAAGTCGAAGGTGATGAGTGATTATAGTAAATGTTCATCAGGTAGGAGCAGATGGCGTCAAACAGCTGCAGCTATAATTGGTGAGCAATATTTTAGGCAATTATCAATTTTAAAGCTGGTCCACTGCAAAAACTCATGAATCCCCTGAAGGCGCCGGTCTTCGCTTTATATTAATTAATATAATATAGTATTATTATTGATTAATAATTCCCCAGATCAGATTCGCGATTTGATTCCATCGATTGACATTTCCATTTAATTTATCAGAATTGCCTCAAATTTTTTTCCGTCAATTTTACGTTTCGATTCATCAATCAATTCAACGATTGATTTTTCCTAGAATATTTGATTGATTGTGAGATGATTTGAACAGAATAACGACGGATAAAAAAATAATCTCTCAAATCCCATTCCATCTTCAAAATTATTCGTGTATTTCCCTCAAAGTCTCCTCCATACACAATTTGTTATTGTTATTAGGGAAACATGACACGTGATTCTTGCTCGCAGGTTCTTAACAAACTTATCTAGAAATACTCGATAATTTTGAAGTGTTCATGGTAATCCATATATTCCATATGACAACCTGATAAAAATCTGTGAGCCTTGAAAATTCAGACAGTAATGTTTAAACTTTCAACAATGTTTTGAATACCGTTCGATTATTTGCAGCGAATTTGTCAGGGATAGCTGGCGGTATGCTGTCAGCCTGGACCGCCCCAATAATTCCTCAACTTTCCAAAGTGACAACTCCAGTCGGCACAGAACCGATAACCGAGAGTGAAATATCTTGGTTGGGCTCAGTAACAGGGCTGACATCACTAATTGCTCTGCTATTCTACGCAGTGGCAGTTAAGAGAATTGGTAATAGAATAATGGCATGGGCAATAGCTATTTCCGCTGCAAGTAGTTGGTTGCTCATATACTTTGCCGAGAATTTCTATTACCTCGTGGTGGCCCGCGGTCTTGCTGGATTCGTATGCGGAATAACATTTTCAATGGTACCAGTATATGTCTGCGAGATTGCTGATGATTCTATCAGAGGCCAGCTCGGAAGTTTCCTTTCCTTCGGCTTCAACCTGGGAACACTTGCCTCTTTCATTCTAGGTGCCAAACTGTCGTATCATGCTTTTGCATTGTGCGGACTAGTTGTTCCCATAGCTTTCATCATAGGTTTCATTTTTCTTCCTGAATCACCGATGCATCTTCTCAGAAGGGGACGCATCGACAGAGCTACCAGGTAATTTTTCCATTAACCGATTATTCAATCGTTCGTTCTGGATTTTTGCCGGTTTCTTACATTTTTTGGGAGAATTGAAGGATTTTTCTTTGTCATTGTATGATGATTCTTGGAGAATGACCTAGTACTCTAGGATTAATCTACACGAGAAGTGAAAAAAGGAAAGATAATCGGATTATCATTTATTGTGAAAATTTTATTATTTATATGCAAACTTGGAACTCGCTGAGTGTCACTTTGCATTATCGTTAATGATTTAAAACGCAGGAAATTATAGTACGCGTACTACAATTAATCACGTTTTTTATTCAGTTCTCTAATGTGGCTGAGGAACAACGATAAAACAACTGTGGATTACGAATTAATGCAACTTGAGCGGCAACTGACGAACAGCATCGGCAAGTCAGCCGGCTTGAAAGATTTATTCAGAGACAGGGGAACTTTCATGGCATTAATTATCTCTGTAACTCTATTCGCTGGTCAACACACGTCTGGATATGCTATTTTGGTAGGTCCCATCCATTGTCCAAGTATCAGGCATTAATTTAGTAAACAGAATAAATCAGGTTGATTTTTTGTTAGCATTTATTCATGGAAATTGATGTTTTTCCAATGTTTTTCCTCACTGCAACCGATTTTATTATCATTATTAAGTGCAGGAAATGTAAAATTTTATTATGATTTCTAAAAAGAGAGTGCGTATCCATAAAGAACATCTTGATTTTGTAATAGATGTGAACCATTTGTTTTTTAATCTTCCAGTTCTCATACACAACAACAATATTTGAAAAAGCCAAATGCTCGGTGGATCCTGACCTAGCGTCTATTATCATCGCAGTTATTCAAATCGTGGGTTCATGGACATCAACACTGACGATAGAGCGTCTAGGAAGGCGAAAGCTCGTCATAATTGCCTGCATGGGCATGATAATAAGTCACTTCGGTTTTGGAACATTTTTAGCCCTTCAGGCCCATAACTATGACTTATCATCGGTATCTTGGCTGCCCCTTGCCACAATGTCAATTTTTGCTTTAGCTTTCTGTGCAGGACTCGGTCCTCTGACATCAACCGTTGCATCTGAAATTTTCAGTGCTGATATCGTCAGTCTAGGGCTCTCAGTCTCCTTATCAACCGAATTCATTTCTAATTTTTTAACGACACTTGTTTTTCCCTCCATGAGTGCTACATTCGGCATGCACGTGAGTTTCTTCGTCCTTGCATTATTCACGGGATTCACACTCGTAATTACATTTTTCCTCTTACCTGAGACCAAGGGACGATCGAAGCTTGATATATTCGAAGAATTAAATGGAAAAACAAGGAAGCCTCAATTTATGGCTGTTCCACTCAACGAGGAAAGTGTTGAGAAAAATGAATTTATGCACCAAGCTATTGAGTGCAATGGATTGCCGGCTTGATTAAAAGTCACCGAGACAATTTTTCGTTTAATTTATCCTGATGTTGTAATGGGATTTACAATATTATTGAACAGTGGGTCTTTTAGGCATTTATACAAAAAAAATTGGATAATTTTAATTACAACTTCAGGATGAATGGGGGAAAGTTTCCTTCCGGAACAATGACCATTTATGGAAGTCTAACTGTATATCTGTATCTATATATCGTATCTACGCATGTAGCGAATGATCTGCATTGCTGACTCAGCCCGTTCGCGGGCGTCGTTAGATAATTAATGATTGTAATGAAGAAGTTTTTTTTTCTACTTTGATGTAATATCCACACGATAGCGTCTTTTTTACTATTCGGTGTGAACTTCAATGCACGGATTTTGAGCGCATTGGAGATGTCGATTGATAATTCATATCGATTTGATGCTATTAGTTTATCTAATTGTTCACAATTGAAATGAGAATGTATCTCAAGGCGGCTTCGATTCGTGTGATTTACATCGTGTTACGGAGTGATTCAACTTTTTTATAAACAATTTATAGGCATTTTTCAATAACTCATACATTTATGGTATGGGTTCAATTCGGGAAGAGAAATTGATTCTGCACTGAGATTTTCTGTATTAAACTTCAGAATCAGCCATTCTTTTTATCCACGTTGTTGCATTATAAGAATTATATCCAGTCACTGGATGGAAGAGTTTTTGTAAGTTATGTAATTGTTAAGGTATTAGATGATGTTGAATTAATAAAACAGATTGAAAGTATAATTAATTCAGAATTAAATAATTGTTTCTTACTCGAATCTTCAATTTTTGATCCGTTGAAAAATTCCTCTGGTAAATTTGCGAGAAATTTTTTTAGAGATCTTGGGTGATTAAAGGATTGAATGTTCAAATTTTATGTGTCTTGTATTTCATTTTTTTTTAACGCAAAAAGGGTAGAATAGTAGAATACTAAAGTTGGAATTTTTTTCACCTTTCGCCGCACTGAAAATTTTCCGATGGTAGAGTCGTGTTCAATAATTGATCGGGATTGGTATCGCGATATTGAAGTGAGATCTTCCCTGAGGGTGAACTCCGGAAAAGCAACAGCTGTTCATCAATTCCCCACGTCAATTTTCACAATTGCTGGTGAATTGTAAGAAAATTGCTTTCAACACTGAAGATATACCTGCGGTAAAGACTTTGTGAATAAAAAGTTGCATGAAAACTATTCAACTTATTTCTCACAATTCTGAAAAACTCTCAGCAGCTAGTTCTTTGCCATCAGCTTCGGAGGGTAAGTGATGGGAAATTCGTTGGGAAATCATCGCGCTCCATTAGGCGCTTCGCTTTTTACTTTACGGTGTGTATTTCAGTCTTTGTTACTGTATCAAATGAATCTAGTAGCAATATATACTGTTTAACAGTTTTGTTGAACATCGATTGGTATAATGAAATATTGGTTTGGGGAGAGAATGCCAAAAGATTTTTTAATCAGAAATTTAATTGCAAAGAGCCAAAAAAACACTTACAATCTTTCCACCATAAATCAATGAAATGAATGAAGGAAAAAATACAGATTCTGTGGTCTTTGGAGCTCTTCCGATGACTCTCACCCCATCAAAAAATTCATCTACCCAATCTACAGCATGGTAATGACATCTCTCATTTGGATCTTCATCGCTACGATATTGGGAGATTTATTCTCGAATTTTGAAGATTTGCTGGTAATCACAGATGACGGCTGCTTTCTGGCCGGGATATCTGTCATTGTCTTCAAGCACATCATATTCTGTCTTCGTCGTCGGGAAATTATTAAACTGATTCATGAAATCTATCGTCCGGTTGATTATCTCGCTAAGTCGTCAGGTACCTAAGTCTTGATACAAGTGTATATGCGTCCGGATTATGTACATATATTTTTCGATAAGTATTTTGAGTTAGCAAATTTCAGATGAAGGAGCGCTGATACTCGTAAAAGTGTCAACATTTTACGATGAGCTTCATTGCTATAGCTTTATCGGTATAGGATGTTGTCTAGTATTAGCTCTGGTAACAATAGTCCCAACGGACAACGGCAGTCTACCAATAAGAGCGAAGTATCCATTCGATTCAACGATTGAGCCACTGCACAGTATTGCATTTGTCATTCAAGCAAGTGCAGTTGCAACTGGTGTAGCTGGAATCCTGGGTATGGATGGAGTTGTCACAAGCATTTGTCGATACATCACACTACAATTAGAAATCTTGGGTTCAAATTATCGGCATTGTCAAACCAAATGGCCTCGTGGAGAAATCCACCTGTCGATTGGAAAACCAAAGAGTCGTGAGACTGAAATTAATTGTTTTATTCCTTTCAGTCCGAGGGAGGCTCACGAAGCGAATGATTCCTTTGTGAGACGTTTCAAGATATGTATACGACACCATCAGAGACTCATAAAAATTGTGAATAATGTCAATGTTGTATTTGGATCCAGTATGTTTTGTCAATTATTCGCAAGCTCTGCAATGATATGTTTCACTGGATTTCAAGCAGCTTTGGTGAGATATCTCACATCAAAAAGTTTTTCTCTCTGCACTTGTCCTCTTTCACTGGCAAAACCACTGCAAAATGTATTATTTTTACATTATCCTGGCCATAATAGTGAATTGTCTTTCAGGGCGCCAGGGAAAGCGCCAATTTGATTAAATTTGCAATGTACTGTGGAACAGCCTTCTCTCAACTGCTCTCGTGGTGTTTAATAGGAAATATGTTACTGCATGAGGTAAAAAGGCAATTATATCACCATTTTTCCGTCTTTCTTTGCATGATCTGCTTTTTCTCGTAGAGTCTCACTTTGACTAACAGCCAATGGCAATCTGGTTGGGAAAACGAACAATATTTCGACTTTGCGTATTTGATCATTTTTGCCATGGTACGTGGTAATAAGTCTCTGGAACTTAGAGCTATCAACTTTTATTCAGTGTCGATGGATACATTTATAGTGGTGAGTCCAAAATCTACAATTCAAATGAACCAGAAACTTAAAAAAAATAGAATTGTCTTCCGCTCGGATTTTATGGACATTTTTTTTTGTTTATGTATGGGATTTTAATTGCGGTTTTTTATGTTGCAATCCAGATCTTGCGAGCCTCGTATTCATTCTTCACTCTTTTGGTGACCGTCGTGTGAAATTTAACGTAACTATATGCATGAGGAAACAATAAATAAATAAAAATGAATTTTCGCCTGAATTTTGCCATTAATTGAGAGTATAGAATAATTTTTTTAATTTATACAAAAGAATTATATCAGTGTGGGTAAGGGACTTTCCTTCCGACATAGCGAGTATCAATCCGCTTTGCTGACTCATGCGTTCGCGGGCGTCGTTAAATCATTAATAATTCTAATGAAGAAATTTTTCCTATTCCGATGCAATATCTATGATATCCACAATAATAGATGAATAAAATTTGAATTTTTTTACCTTACGCCGCACTGAAAATTTTCCGATAGTAGAGTCGTATTCAATAACCGATCGAGGTTGATATCACAATAATGAAGTGAGATTTTCTGCGAGAGTCGACTTCGGAAAAGCAACAGCTGTTCATCAATTCTGCACGCCAATCTTCACAATTGCTGGTGAATTGTAGGAAAATTGCTTTCAATACCGAAGATATACCTCCGGTAAAGATTTTATGAATAAAAAATTTGAAGAAAACTGCTCAAGTTATTTCTCACAATTGTGGTAAACTGTCAGTAGTCAGTTCTTTGCTATCAGCTTTAGAGGAATAAATGATGGAGAATTTATTGGGAAATCGTCGACATCAACTGGGCGCTTCACTTTTTACTTTACGGTGTGTATTTTCATTTTTTTCACTGTATTAAATAAATTTTCTAGCAATATATATTGTTCAACGATTTTGTTGACGATCGATTGATATAATGAGATATTGATTTGAAGAAAGAATGCCAAAAGATCGTTTTATTGAGAAATTTAATATGAAAAGGCGGAAAAAACTTACGACTTTTCCTCCCCAAATCAATTAAATGAATCACGGGAAAAATATAGATTCTGTGGTCTTTGGAGCTCTTTCGATGATTCTCAACCCATCAGAAAATTCATCTACCCAATCTACAGCGCAATAATGACATCTCTGATTTGGATCTTCCTGGGAACGATATTGGGAGATTTATTCTCGAATTTTGAAGATTTGCTGGTAATCACAGACGACGGCTGTTTTCTGGCCGGGATATCTGTCATTGTCTTCAAGCACATGATATTTTGCCTTCGCCGTCGGCAAATTATTAAGCTAATTCATGAAATCTATCGTCCGGTTAATTATCTCGCTAAGTCATCAGGTACATAAGTACCTGATACAAGTATATATGTGTCAGCTTTATGTACATATATTTTTCTATGAATATTTTAAGTCAGCCGATTTCAGATGAAGGGGTGCTGATGCTCGTGAAAGTGTCAACATTTCACGGTCAACTCCAATACTACAGCTTCATCGCCATAGGATGTTGTCTAGTATTAGCTCTGGTAACAATAGTCCCAACGGACAACGGCAGTCTACCAATAAGAGCGAAGTATCCATTCGATTCAACGAT